GGCAAATAGAGAAAGAGAGACAAGAAAGAGCGAGAGAAGAAAAAAGATCAACAATTCAATACCATGTGTTACGGCACACGTGAGTCACGGCGCCAGGGGAACACAGCACGGCATCAGCTGATAATAACTCAGTATTAACTAAATATACGGTATCGTAAATCGGGAACATAAAAACACCAATCTCACCGTTATAGGAAAAGCCAGAGGACGATAAAGTATAACAGGCCAATGGGTTATTTGTTTCACTTTGTTCATGGGGCAGAACACGAACCGATAATGACTGGAATTGCAAAGGATAATTATTATGGTTGAATAACATCCCGTAAAGATATCACGGATACCATGACCGGATGCGTAGGATATATCTATTGGAAAGAGATTTGTGTGCTGATAAGGGTTACCGTCCCGTTTTATCTTCTTTTGCAGATAGAATTGGAAAGTTTTATGGTGTTTACTTTCTACTGGCTGTCTTTTTCTTTGACTTTTTCGACTCTTTTGTGTGTATTTAAGTCATTTATTCTTTATTTTTGGAATACTGATAATTTTTCCCCTGTTTAAAAGTTCTTCCATATGTCATGTTGGTCTGACTTCTTGCTCCACAGGGCACGAATTTCAACATGGTGTCATAATTCTCCCTACATATAATTCCCTCGTGAGGCCATATTTCCCTCTTTACCCTTCACTTCCTCTTGCCATTCCCTTTATTCCCCTTTATCCTCCTTACTCTTTCCCCTTCCTCCAATTACGTCGCCGAATTCCATCTCAATCATACTTGGAGAGTCGTTCTCCTTTTCGCCTTCAAAACGGTGGAATTCCCGTCCACTTGCGGTCTCGTCCACTTAAAGACCTGACTCCCGAACAAGATCCCCCCCCCCCCCTTGGCAGGGAGGAGAAATTTGAATGAGTTAATTTTCCGTCCTCATGCTTTACAATCAGTATGTTAATCAAAAACTATTCTTTATTTTCTGGGTTCGAATCTCTCTCTCTCTCTCTCTCTCTCTCTGCCTCTCTCTGTCTGACTCTGTCTGTCTCTCTCTCCCTCTCTCTTTGTCTCTTTAACTCTCTCTCTCTTCTCTCTCTCTCTCCCTCTCTCCCTCCTCTCTCTCTCTATCTCTCTTTATCTCTCCCTATCTCTCTCTATCTCTCTCTTTTCTTTCTTTTAGATCTGTCAGCCACTGGGGACACAGAGTCTACGCGCACCGGTCACATTTTCCGTGCGTTTGGTCTTTTGTCCTTCTTAGTATTCCGATGTACAACTCTACACCAAATTAAACGCCCCTGACATTTTCGCCATCGAAGCCTTCTTTTCCCCTTAATTGAAAGTCGAGTCAAGGGAACGGACTAAACTGAGGGTTACAATGGCAAAAGGTCTGTGGCACGCGATGTCTCTCTCCCGTAGGTTCCAGCAGGGCGAAAGGGGGGCCATAGATAGCGTGATGGGGAGACAAAAGCGCCGTCAGTGCCAATGATGGGGAAAATCTTCCGAAGGGGAGAGCGCCGACCCCAACTTGGCTGACCGCGAAGCATGAACCACGACCGCAAAATGAACCACGAATTTTATGGGATTTCTCCAAGAACACCTCATCAGGATCGTCTTTTTTTTTTTTAGATCGATGGATAGATAGATAGGTAGATGGACAAATAGACTGATGTGTAGGTAGATAGATAAAATAATAGATAAAGGAGCAGATAGATAGATAAATGGATAAGTAATAACTGCATATATGTATGCATATACATACGTGTGTGTGTGTGTGTGCTATATACATATATACTATATATATATATATATATATATATATATATATATATATATATATATATATATATATATATATATATATATATATATATATATATATATATATATATATATATATATATATATATATATATATATATATATATATATATATATATATATATATATATATATATAATATATATATATATATATATATATATATATATATATATATATATATATATATATATATATATATATGTATATATATGTCTGTGTGTGTGTACAGAGAGAGAGAGAGAGAGAGTTGGATAACTAGATAGAGCGATTATTCCGCAAATATCAAGAAAACAACTTCACTGCGTTATATAAACTCATATCAAAATTTCGATGTAAGAAAATAGAATGTGTTCATTCTTTATGGGAAATGATTGACCTAAAAACTGATCTTTTCTATTGTAGACAGCCAAATTATTAAATTTCCTATCGTGATATTCGTCTATTTCGTTTTCTCTCTCTCTCTTTTCTCTTTCTCTTTTTTTCTCTCTCTCTTTCTCTCTCTCTCTTTTATCATATTCCACTTTTTCCTCTCATTTCTTATCATCAATTGTCAGCCTAGGTCTTTTCAATACGATGACATTCATCCTGCTACAAGATGATGTAATCTGACGATACATTTCATTCAACTGTAACAGTCGCGGTCAAAAAATGTGTCGAGCATGTTTCGAATTCCGTTTCGAACATCTGCTTAATGCCACACCTTTTGTATAGGGTGAGACGGATTCGAAGCTTCAGTTCATTAAAGGTCTTTTGTCCGCCACTGTACATAATACCTTCATAACCAGGCCATTAAAGCCATATTACGGTGAAAATAAGGTTTCATTATACGCTAAACATAGCGAATTATGATCTATTGGTATATTATTTGTGAGATTTAATTACGTGAACACGATCGTAATGCAGAAAGAAGGGAAATTATATTCAAAATGTAAGCGATTTATTTGTGGCCTTCGTTTCACCGGAATGCTACATGTCAGCTTAGATATTTGTAAAAGTAATTCGTATATTGCCGGAAAAGAGATTGTGTATAGACTTATATGTATAGGTATCTCAAACACTGAAGAATACATACTGCTAAATACTTTCCTGACCTTCAGCTACATTATTTTCTCTGAGTGTGCGACTTGCCACAGTGCAATGCAACTCATTATATCTACAGTTATAACCCCAAACCTTCATCCATACACCACGGAAGCTAAAACAGGCATTAAAGACATTCTTCCCTTTGATTCCTGTCACAGCCATAGCCTCCTTGATTAAACCTATCTTCTGAAACTACAAGTGTGATTCTCACTCCCCCTTCCCCTCCCCTTCCTCCTGCAGGCGGGTCTTCCAGCAGCCCCCCCGGGATCAACTGGAGCCAGTGGTGGACGTACGACGGGATCTCCGGGCCTCGTTTCTGGGGCGTCATCAACCCGGCCTGGGGGATGTGCCGCGAAGGCCGCCGTCAGTCCCCCATCAACGTGGATCCCAAGACGCTTCTCTTCGACCCGAATCTCACGCCATTTACATTGGATAAGGTCACGGTGAGTTCTCTGTTGTCATTTCTATCCTTGAGGAATAGATAGCGCCAGTGTCTGCAGGAAGTTTATCCTCGGTTAAAGCACAGCGAACCAAACCAAGGTCACGGGTATTATTCATAGAAGCCTTCAAGGTCAAACCAAGGTCGCTAGAATTATTTATAGAAGCCTCCAAGGTCAAACTCATACGGATCACCCCCAACAACATTCGCTGCAAGCAAGGTCCATCATAAGCTCGTGTAATTACCTCCTCTTCAAGGCAAACAAAGTCACGGGAAAGCCTCGGCAATCAGGCAGAGCGATCATTATAAATGACAAAGTCTCTGTAAGCTTTAAATGGCCCCGTCCATGAGGGGGATTCTGGCCTAGGTCATTACACGCCTCCATCAACGTCATGGCCATCAGATCGAGGCCATGCCTTCCACGGCGCGTCGGAACTGCTGTCCATTAAGGCATTAGAGGGACGTATTATCATTGTCGCATTTTGACTCACGGTTCGGTCGAGAAATATTGAACCTGTCTGTAATTTCACAAATTTTCCCTTAACGCTTACATATCCCACCATTGTTTAGTAGTTTTGGGCCACTACCATGATACAGACTAACGTATTCACCTTTTCTTCAGAATCGTAATAAATTCGATTACCCAACGATGCTTGTTGTTCTCTGCGTGATAAGTATTAGTACATTAAAGACAAATGGAAGCTTAACGCATCGTGTCATATGCTTAACTTCAAGAGACGCATAAAATGTTAATGTTCTTAGATGAAGAACATGATATGCAGCAGCTCCAAGGGATATCATTGCAAAACTAAAACAATGAGAATAACAATAGATAAGTAAAAAAAATAAAGATAAAGAATAGTAAAAAATAAGAATGAGTAGGACTAAGAATAAGAATGAATAAAACAAGAATAAGGGAGAGTAGGAATAAGAATAAGAATAAGCAAGAATAGAATTAAAAATAAGTAGGAATATTAATAAGGATGAATAAGAATAAGAAAGCAGGAATAAAAATAAGAATGAGTAGGAATAAGAATGAGTAGTAATAAGATTAAGAGCAGTAAGGAATATTAGTAAGGATGAATAAGAATGAGAATGAGTAGGAATAAGAATAAGAATGAGTAAGAATAAGATTAACAATAAGTAGGAATATTAACAATAAGTAGGAATATTAACAAGGATGAACAAAAATAGAATGAGGAATAAGAATAAGAATGAGTAGGAATAACAATAAGAATGAGTAAGAATAAGGTTAAGAATAAGTAAGAATAAGGTTAAGAATAAGTAGGAATATTAATAAGGATGAATAAGAATAAGAATGAGTAGGAAGAAGAAAAAAATAAGTAAGAGTAGGAATATTAATAAGGGTGAATAAGAATAAGAATTAGAAAAAAAATAAAAATGAGACTAGACTGAATAACTGAAAATACAGCACCGACCCCTTGGTCCGTGCCTCCTCGATGACTGTATCTGTCCTTAGCTCAGGTGGCCGGCGAACTCATCAACACAGGACACAGCGTGGAGTGGAGGGCCGCCCGCGACTCCGTGATGGTGAATATCACGGGCGGCCCCCTCAGCTACGTCTACACCGTCACCCACGCCCGCCTGCACTTCGGCGAGCGCGATCAGCAGGGCTCGGAGCACCTGCTGGACAACAGAGCCTTCCCTGCTGAG